TACTTGCCACAAAAGCAACAAAACTATCGATCTTTTGTGGGATAAGTTTCTTTGAATATCAAAATATCAATAGCTTTTGTAGTGACGTATATATTTATGCATAATTAGAGAAGAAGAAGGTATTCTCTATAAGCACATATCTATAAATATATATGTTAAAGTTGCGCTTTGTAACCGCTGAAGCGATTTTTCAGACGAGCTCCTCCTCCAGTTTGTAATTTTGTGTCCTGAAGTTTTTCCAACAAATAGAGGGACCTACAATTTATACTAAGCCGCCTCTGAACAGCTGATGGGTTTTCTTTACGAGGAGCTTTTACTTCATGTCCGAAATACACTCGGATGGGTGGACATTCCCTGCCGAAGGGCGACCGCAATTAGAAAATTTAACTTAATTTTTTTATTTTTAATTAATTTTTCATAACTTTTGAATGTTTGTGGTACCGGGATATGAACCTGAGCAGTACGCAATGCTAATCACCGCGGCCGCCTTATCTTTATACATATGTATATAATAAGTTTTGTCCTGAATGATTTACGGATCAACCCACAGCCTAAACCAGTCTTCTTAGACGCCTGAAATTTAGAGCGTGTGTTCTGCGCATAACATATACACCAGTTCAGAAAGGGTTTTCCGGGAAGTGAATCAGGAACCGATTTCTTCGAAAAAAAATCGAGTTTATTTTTAAATCGCTTGATTTACAAGAAACTCAGGTAACTCTTTGAATAAATTAACGAGGGGAGCACTTCTTCTTACAGAAAATGGCCCTGTGACTGATTCGATGGCTCGCGTTTGCTGAATATGTGGTACATATGGATGTAGATGACTCTTTGCCAAGGTCAATATGTGGAGAGCTGTGCGAAAAAATCGTATAAATGTTTCGATTTGATTGATATTCGGAACATACATAGCACTTTGCTTAGACTGATATGTGGAGAACTAATAAAAATCTTATTAGATCCATCTTAGAATTCTATGCGGACAAAGTTGCGGGAAACCTTTATGTATGCTTCAATTTATGTATGCATGTACATACTTATATTTAGATATGTATATATGTTATTTATATAAAAACTATTAACAAATAACAGCAGTGAATAGAAGATAAGTTTATTATTATTTTTCTATATACATTTATATGTACATATACATACATATGTGTACGTGTATACAAGGGAGAGAGATTATCTAAAAACACTTACAGTATACAATTTTTAGGTATGCTCATACTTATATACATATATCAGGAAGTCTTGATTATCTTATTAATTAAGATGTATACATACACATTTTTATGTGTAGATATGTAGTTGTTATTAATTGCCAGAAACATCCAGTCATGGGAATAGCATCGAAAAAAATCACCCCATACCAGTATGTACACAAACAACAACAAATTTGTTTTAAATCTTCTTTTTGACCAATTTCGTGAAATTTTGAAAGTACATACATACATACATACATACGTAGAAATTTGTATATACGAATAAAAAGCATTTCTTTTCAAGTTTATACATGAACATGTGTGTGCACTTAAAAAGCCAGCAAGCTATATGAAACTTTGACCCCTAACAAGGTGACATAATCGTAGAGTTTGTTAGCTCACATAAAGGCATACATACGTGTATGCATATATGTATGTATGTACATAAGTATGCCGGCAATTTATGTATGGATGTATATGGACTTTTGTGTTAACTGTAAAAGTGAAAAACCTTAAATTAAGTTTTATTTTAGGTCACAATAAAATATTTGAGTATCTATCTGCAAAGAAACAAAGAACTTTGCGTGATGTGTTTTTAACGTCATCCCTTAAAAAAATATATTTTTTCCATAAGTACATATTTTTTTTTTTTCAAAAATATGTATCAATATTATTGAATGGATTTAGGGATGGTAATTATGGTGACTATTTTTAGAAAAAAAGTTCACTGTTTACAGCGATGCAATGTCAATAGATTTTTAGCTAAACATTCTACTTTTATTGAATCATTCTATCATCAGCTGAGGGCATGATTTATTATGCTTGTACATACATACATATATATCTTTAGTTTTTACGTCAATCGCCAGACAGTGAAACCAAACAAAGTTTTGCATAAATTTACTATTTATATTTGCGTAAAGTCAGGGTAATTAATTAAAGAGAAAAGCATATTGCTTTAATATATTTAGTAAAAACATACATACTTACATATGTACATATACTTTAAATTTTGCATAATGCGTCAGACGCACATATGAAATTTCCTATAACGATGTGTGTATATATGTATGTAAATATATAAAATTGATTAATTTTTTTATTTTTAAACCACTTAAAATTTTCAAAAAAGCGCATAAAAGTTGTTTTTAATAATTTTAAAATTTTTATTATTATTTTTCATTTTTTTCCTTTGGCAAAATTATGATTTGAAATTTTCTTGTTTTTCACAAATTTTTTGTTTGTGCTGAATCACGCTTTGATTGTGTGGCATAAAAGTTGTTTTTAATAATTTTTAAATTGCCAAAAAAGCACTAATACACAGATGTATACATACGTACATACGTATCATAGCTGGGTGTGTGCGTGTGTATGCATGCCAACTCATATTCGTATTTCGCAAATTTAAGCATTATATTTTCAATAGATGACCGGCAATAGCTGCTGCTTGGAAGCTTTTTCTGAGTATTTTGTATATTTGTGTTGAAGAAGCGCTTTTTCTTCTTCTAGCTCAAAAATGCCGAAATTTTTTGGTTTTCTTTTGCGTTATTTGCATTTACGAAGTGAATTACATTTTTCCTCTCATACTTTTATTTGGGAGCGGAAAAATTTCAAAACAGAGAGGAATTTGTTACGTAGATACAAAGTTATGTATATTATATTATATAAGTATGTATAGTTGGCGATACATGGCTTGCCATCTCAGCTGTTACGGTGTAAAAAGGTGTTTTATTCTGGCTGATTTAAGAAAATTTTATGCATATATAAGAAGGCAAATTGGGCAGGTCAAATGAATTTTTCACATTTTTTTACCAATAATAATAATGCAATTTTTATTTTTATGTTTTATTTCCATAAAAAATTAAGTTAAATTTTCTAAAAGTAGTCGCCCCTCGGTAGGAATTATCCTCCACCCCTCCGAGTATATTTCGGACATGAAATAAAGCTCCTCATAAAACACCATCAGCCGTTCGAAGGCTAGTAAAAACTGTAGGTCCCTCCATTTATTGGAAAAACTTCAAACGCAAAACCACAAATTGGAGGAAGAGCTCGGCCGAAAATTCGCTTCAGCGGTTACAAAGCCCCATTTTAAAGCTATTGCAATTTTTATAAATTCCAAATGATTTAAAAAAATCCGCTTAAGTTGTTTTGGTCATAAAAAAAAGTCAAGCTATCCGAAGAGCAGTGTAGAACAAACTTGTTTTCTTTTGATTAGGCCACTAAAGAATATGGCAGCAGATTTCAGTAATAATCAAATTAAATAACCTTTGAGCTAATTCCTCTGTTAGTGATTTTAATAAGACATCCCTCACTTGGGTTATGGGCTTGGTATACTCATCATTTGAAATGTGCAATAGAGAGTTTGTTAAAAATTATACTGAAGTAAAATTGCTTTCATTCAGCTTTATTTAGTTTAGATTAAAAGGTTTAAAGGCACGCACCTCCGGTTTTCTGCAACAAAAAATTAAGTTTTATGCAAATAGTTTATAATAAACTATGATTTTTGAAAATAACTTTTTAAAAATATTTTTTTTTTCAAATTTCCTTTTCGTGCTGTGAACAACAAATGCTAGATGGATGAGCTACATATGAAGTATATTATGGCTAACACTCTCAGCAGCTAATACGAATAAATTTCGATGTCAGCAGAGCTCAGACTACATTTTAATGCTGTTTGCAATATGAGGTTGACAATTTTTGTATACTACACAAATCTTAATATTAAAGTGAGCGCTTATTTTAATTGTTTTTTATCCAAAGTACTTTTCTTTCATTTCTTTAATTCTATTTTTTATTTGTTTTCTTAATGACAAATGTGACAGAGGAGCTTAGAGTTTTGCTGGTTTTAATGGAATTCTTTGTTAAACATTTCAAAACACCACTGAGTCAATAGTTTCTTACATAAAAATGGCGCCCGGAATTCTAGTTACTTTAGGAATATATTTAGTCTATGGTTGAATGGTTTTCGATCAATTAATTTTGGCACCAAACTGCATCGCCTTGAAAAACTGTTGTTAACAAACCACCCTTTATATCTACATACAAATATTACATATACAAACATATATGTGAGTGGTATGCGCTCAAACAAAATTCCAAATTATTTCCTCTCCGAGTAAAATCAAAAAAGTGGTGTGATTTTTGTTTGAAAGGGCGTACTATATTTATGTATGTACCCATGTAATAAACATGAATATGCAGATACTCATAATGAATATTTATTTGTAAGTTTGTACTGGCGAAAAATGGGGTTAGATTTTTAGATACACCATAGTCGAAAAATATTTCTTTTCCATACATACATATGTACATACCCGTGCATAAATAAACGCTTGAAAATTTTAGCAATGAGTAAGGTGTCAAGCCGGCCAAGGACAAAAAGGACAAAACTGTTATTAAAAAACTGATAAAACATAACTAGAATGGTATAGAAAATAACTAAAATACTTCAGCTGAAGGGAATTTAAAAAAAAAAAAAATCTCTATCATCTCAACCCTTGTGGCTGCAATATAGAGTTCCCACAAACGCCGGTTGAGTAACAAGAACAAATTACACTACAATGACCACTTTCAACCAATTACCAGTTGGGTAATTTTCCATTCGTGCTACACTAATACACATTTTCTGTCGACACCGCATATCCTTGCAATGAAATCACTCACGAAAATGTTTTAGCTCAAAAATCGATTTCTCTCAGAAGCTTAGTATATGCATTTAAAATAGTTATTGATTTTTTGATTTATTAAAAACTAGTTTTTTTTTTAAGTTGTATGCTTCACTTTCCGGCCAGCACTTACCTTGTTGTATTTCTTGTAATGCAGGCGTTCCAAGCCGGACACTTTGCCGGGCACCTCGGCATCATCGGCTAAGACCGCCGTTGTTTTCTGTTTTAGACACTGCGACATTGTTGTACTGTAATTTCTTAGTTGCTGCTGCTGGATATTTCTATTAAAATTATTGTAGCTATTTAAAGCTTCGATGCTTTTATTTAAATCCAATAATGCTTTGGAGGATAATAGAGGTGGCAATAAATTTGTCTCGTTTTCCTTTTGATTTTCTTTCAAATTTTGATTGCTGCTGGTGGTTGTAATTTCTGTCAAATCATCTACTTCCTTTTCCTCCTTTGACGGTGTTGCTGTTTGTTGCGTCTGCGACAATTGAGACGGCAATGATGACTGCTCGGCGGCGACTCGACTCGTACTGATTTTACTCAATTTTGCTATGCCATTTGACAACTCGTATTCGACAGTTGTTGTCGTTGTTGTTAATGTAGTCGTATGATGATTATTGCTCGCTTGACTACTATTGCGGTGAGCACAGTGTGCTTGTGTAGAGGCAAAAGTTGTTCTATTGCCGTTGTTGTTGGTGGTGGCTTGGCAACAATATTGCCCAGACGTGGGGATTCCGATTGCAAGCTGTTTCACATTCATTGCGTCATCATTTGTGTTGGTGTTATTGTTGCTCAGCTGTGTGCCAATAACAGCTGATTGTGCGAAAGCTCCACTAGTGCTGCTACAATGACAGCTGTTGGCCGTGGCGGTTACTTGACACTGCTGCTGCTGTTGTTGTTGTTTTTGATGACACTGCTCATTCACTGGAATTGTAGTTTTATACATTTGTGTTTGTAGCTGTTGTTGCGGCTGTTGTTGTTGGCGATATTGGTCGTACGGTGTTACCTGGCCATTGGAAGGGTTATACGAGTTGGCGACGGTTGGATAGAGCGGAGAACTACATAACGAAAAACGAATAAATGGATGAGTAAATGGTGGAAGAGAAACAAAATCATAGAGCACAATGAATTTGCTGAATTGTTTTTACATACCTATGATATATAAATGTATATATATGTATGCATAGTTATTTGTGTGTGCTTGTTTGGTGGTATTATAAGCTTTGCGAATGTTAAAATATATTTTCATACATACAAATGTGCTACATACCTACATATGTACACACGTATGTACAAATGTTAAGTTATTAAATTAAATGGCTTATGAGAAATGCGTGCAATTCGTTGTGTAATTCACACTTTTCAAATACTTATATTTCTTTATTTTTTGGTAAAAAGATATTTTTATGCAACATTTTGAGTTAATGTACATATATATGTATGTATGTAATTATGTTCATTTTTTTAAACGACAAAAGAAAAGCTGTAGTAATTAAATTTATAAATATTTGTCTTGAAAAGTTTAATTTATAAAACAAATAAAATATTTTTTAAAATTACCGCAAACTAATAAGGTTCAAGCAGCGGTGAAATATATTTGGCAAATAACAGTATTTGTGCTTTAATCGTTTTAAAAATCTGTTAATATCATTGGATGTGTAAGTTACAACTACAATGTGCTTTCAAATTCATTTATGGTATCCTCAGTAGAAAAAATTAAAATCGAAATTCCTTATTAGTTACTAATTGATCGCATTTAAATATCGTTTCCCATATAATAGGTCAAGTAACGAATCATCCATTATTTCTACATTAAATTTTAACGCTATGTAATCACTTAATAGTTTTTTTTTCGGCTAAGCTCCTCCTCCAATTTGTGGTTTTGCGTCTTGATATTTTTCCAATAAATGGAGAGACCTGCAGTTTATACTAAGCCGCCTCCGAACGGCTGATGAAATACACTCGGAGCGCTTGACATGCCCTGCCGAGGGGCGACCGGAATTAGAAAATTTAATTTAATTTTTTAATTAAATTAATTTTCTATAGCTTTTGGATGTTGGTCGCACGGGGATTTGAATCCGAGCCTGCCGAATGGCAGTGCGCAGTGCTAACCACTCAGCTAGGCTTTATTTATCATAGTTATAATTATCTTATTTATGTTAAATATGCTCCTTTTTGCTGGATACCTTTTTGGTATTTTGAAGTGAATGTCTTTATGCTCCGCTCATAAAATCTATCACTTAGTGTGAATTCCGCACAATGAGGTGGATTCATAAGAACCTCCTAAGCCAGCTCTCGAAGTTTCTGGCGAGTCACTAAATGTAAATTTTTTAGGTGTAATCTGACATTGTCTTGATGAAACAGGATTTTCCTCCTTCAGAGAGACGAATTAGGAGTTTGGCCGTAGGGTAGCTAATAGTGGTTAATCATAGCTTTACTGTTAGTTTGAGTCGGCTAACTACCTTTCTACCACGACCGTTTGCATTTGACGTTCTTGTAAGTGATCCACTTTTCATCATCAGTCACCAACCGCTCAGAAATGGCTCGACTTTGTTACGATTCAGTAGCGTTTCGCAGGTGGAAACTCCATTATTTCATCGACATTTCGCCTTCCATACCGTGGAACATCATTTATATAAAAATTACCGAACGAAATCGACGAAACCAAAATTTTTGCATAATTAACTGTTGCAATATCAGGACCCTAAGCACTATTCATATTTTTAGCTGTTTAACTTGCGGCTTCACCTTTATCGAAGACAAATTTCTAGAATATAGAGTATTTTCTTTTTGCTAGTATCAATATTTAACATGCGCTCAACCACTACAGAGTTAAGTGAACAACTCTTACCCCATTATCTGTTTTCGTACAAAACATCATCTTTCAAATGCCATCTAGAATAATTCAATCGCACTTTTAGAACGTGAGATGCAGATTACTAAAACCATCTTTTCACTTGACCTAATATTAAGGGACTGGGGTAGCCGAGGAGTTAGCATTGTGTACGGTCACTCGGAAGCCCAATGTTCATGAGTTCTGCTCTGACCAACATTCAAAAATTTGTATTTCTGAGATAAAATAAAGCTACTCATAAAGAAACCATCCGTCGTTCTGAGGCGGCTTAGTATTAATTATACGTGCATCCATTTGTTGGGAAAACATCTAGATGCATCCACAAACTGGAGAAGGAGCTCGGCGGAAAATCGCTTCCGCAGTTGCAAAGCGCCAATTATTATTATTATTATTATATGTACATATGTATTAAGGAACCACAACTCAATTTAATATTGCTCTTTATTGCTCCTAGTGGACAAGATACTCCAGCCTTGTCTATACATATATTGGCTTTTTCATTATATTTTTGCTGTTTGGAAATGAGATATCAGTGCGGTGGACATAATTTATTTTTCAATTAATGATAACAAAATAATACATCACATACATGTTCTGTGAGCCTTACTTTATAAAGTTGTAAGTCCAAGGTGTATTTATTTTATCAAATTATTTATATATTTTTTAATTAAAAAAAATATATTATTTTTGGTAACATAAATACGAGGTGTGTTCAAAAAATATCGCGAATTTTGAGTTTTTTCAAAAATTATTTATTTATTCATGAATATCTATTTCGTCCCCTTCAAAGTAGTCCTTATCAGATATTATACACAGCTCCTCCTTCGATGCCGTTTTTACCTCGTCAATCGTAGCGTAACGTCGTCCTTTCATGGGTCTCTTCAGTTTAGGGATCAAGAAAAAGTCACAGGGGGGCAGATCTGGGGAATACGGTGGCTGCAGCATCATTAGTGTGTTGTTTTTGGCCAAAAAGTCGCGCACAAGCAACGATGTGTGAGCAGGGGCGTTATCGTGGTGCAAAAGCCAATTTTTGTTCTTTCACAAATCCGTGCGTTGCTGGCAGATTGCTTGGCGCAAATTGCGCATAACTTGCAGGTAATATTCCTTATTGACCGTTCTACCCTGTGACAAGAACTCATGATGCACCACGCCCCTGCAATTAATTTGTTCGTCTGTTGTTGAAGTGCTCGGGCGTCCGGCGCGCTCTTCGTCGTTCCCATCTTCTCAGCCTTCTGAGAACATTTTGTACCACCGATAAACGTTGTTTCGGTCCAAGGTAGCTTCTCCGTGTGCCACAGTCAACATTCGGAATGCATCCGCGCACTTAATTTCGTTTTTCACACAAAATTTGATACAGGGTTTTTATCCATTTTTTTGAATAGGTAAAAATCGAAGACCATCCAAAACAAAGCAGCTGTCAACAATTAAATGAACATTCAAAATGGCTGAGCTTGTCGACATAAGATACAGACATGAGTACCAACATAATGCCACAAAAAAATCGAAATTCGATTATACGTAACCCGGGAAAATTCAAAATTCGCGATACTTTTTGAACACGCCTTGTATTACGCCTCGCATACTGTTAGCAAGACGAAGTTGGTTCGGTGACGTTAACGGTTTCGTAACTTCGTATTCTATGAATCTTGCTTACGACTGGCTTTGGCCGCTCCAAAGCGGGGTTACCAAATCGCTAAAACCTTCATGTATATTCTTTGAATGTGCGAACTAAAATAATTTATTTTTTTTTTATTTTTTTGGCTGTCCAAAGACCTATGAGTTTAATATTACAGCTACAAAGCAAAAAAAAAATATTTAAATAGAATATTGTAAATTAAAAATAAAAAATAAATAGCATAATTGTTTCCCACAGTGTATGAAATATTTAACAGTTTTTAACTTTAATTATAACCATTAGATTTGCATAAAAAGTTGAAACAAAAACGATTTATTAAATGATATTTTTAATGAAATATTAATTACTTAGGTATACAAAAATTCATATCATATAAAATCCATTAAAATATTGATAATAATCGTCAAACAAAACTTTATTAATCTTATTATTTCTACTTTCTCTAAATCACAATTTTGCATTAAAAGCCATTTACGTATGGACTTGACTGACTTGACTGATAATGCAAAGTGCATTTGCTACTGGCGTGACTGGGAAAAATAAATGATAAGAATTATAAGCGTTTTTAGTTTATAAAACGTATCAAAATATGTTTTTGGTCAATGCGGAAAAGTATATACATAGATTTGTAAATACATACAGATGTATGTAAGCATGTTTGTCGCATGAAGTTAGCAAATAAAGCAATTAACTGATATGAAATGAAATATGCACATACATACATTTTTATGATACACATGTATGTGCATATAAATTTTTGGTATAATTAAATTGTAGTTAAATTTAACTGCACAAAAAAACAGGAGATTTTTGATGAATGATTAGATGACAATTTTTGTGGTTTGAAACTTAACTTCGCGGCAATAAAAATATATTGCAATTGAACTATAAATATTTATTTTCATTTGGGCGTAATAAATTGATTTTTTTGTGACATCAGGGAAATAATTTAGTTATTTTTAATTTTAATTTTAATTTCCTTTAACAATTTTTCATACACAAATAGGTATGCATACACGGTGTGTCCCAAAAATAACCGCACCTTTGGATATAAAATAAAATACACATTATATTATCTTTGAGAGTTATTATTTATTCAAAATAGGTTCCATTTGACTCAACACAACGTTTGGAACGATCAACCAGCGCATACATAGATATTTTTATGTCATTTATAGAAATGTTCTTCAGTAGCTCGTTTACGGCTGCTTGAATGGCTGGGATATCATCATAAAATGCTTCCTTCATCTTGGTTTTCAGTTTTGGAAATAAAAAGTAGTCACTAGGTGATAGATCAGGCGAATACGGAGAATGGTCGATGAGAGAAATTCCTATTTTTATTCAAAATTCGAGCGATTTTTTGGTCGTCATTTAATTCATGTGAAACAAATCGCGCACAGACCTTTCTTTTTCCCAAATCTTCAGTTAAAATTCTCCAAATAGTGTTTTTACTCGTATTCAATTCCTCAGCCAACATTCTCGTAGTAAAATTTGCATCGATACCAATGATTTCACCGACTTTTTGCACCAGTTCAGCAAGATTACTAGTTTCTGAACGTCCTGCTCTAGGGACGTCATTTAAATCCTCACGACCATTTTTAAATCGTGTAAACCACGTATAAACTTGCGTGCGACTCATACAATCATCACAATAAATTTTTTTCATTAATTTTTTTTCAAGTTTGACACAAAATTTTACATTTGCTCTTTGTTCCATTTTATTTTTGAACCATTAGCACACTTTTGATTTTATTGAAATTGCTGTCACTTTCACATCTGTCATCCGGCTTACATGATGTTAGGTGCGTTTGAAAGAGGATGAATGTATCTTTTTTATGTTGCAAATTTTCAATAGATGGCGCTGTATGTTGTATGATTTAAATATATTTAAATAAGTTCGGTAATTTTTAGGACACACCCTGTATGCATATTATTTGCATAACAACAGCCACTTGCAATTCTCCAACTTAGTAAACGAATGGAATTGAAATGTTTTTTTTATTGTTTATTTGTATTTTTTTTAACAACTTACCGCGCTCCATAACACATTCCAACACTAAAGAGACGCGACTTTATTATGAGTGGACTTAAGGCTTTTAATTGCATTTTAAAATTCTTAATATTAAATTCACACGCAAAGAAGTAATAATAAATAATAAAATTCAAATATTTGTTTCCTCTCTCATTAATTATTTTCCAATTTATTTTGAACCCTTTTTTCGCAAATGTTTTTTTTTAACTATTTTTACTTTCACAATAGAAATTGACAGAGCGAGTTTTAGCGTTTGAAATGAGAGCGTTGTTGACTGATTGACTACGCCGGCTATAGACCACTGAAGCACCGTCAGCTGTATGCCAAAGAAAGAATAATATTGTACGAGTTTAATTTCTTTACACTCTACACAATCACATCTGTATGTAAACTCATATGTGTATTATAGAGAATTGTATCAACTAAAACTATTAAGAATTTGTTTACTAGCGTGTTCTTGTTTTTATTATGTAGTTTTCCTATTTTCGCATTTCGCTTTCAATGCTGATTAGCTGTGGTCAATAGAAAGACGAACAAAACAAAAAAATGTGAAAATATTTCAAAGTACACTCGCAAAGGGATTTAAATTTATTTACATATATTCGTATATGTACGTATATATATGTTTTATATTATTACATATGTTTACATACCTTTGCACATATAAATATTGCTATATATATGTAATATTGCTATATATATGTACATACATATATACATTTGCGGAACAGCGGAAAATGTTCACAAAGCTTACAGGCGAATGTAAAGGAATATACAGTTATATATGTATGTAAATAAAATGGTTATAAGCTTTCCATAAGAGAAATGAGAGCATTTTGCTTTTGGTAAAAGTGCGCTTGCCCACGCTTTTATTGTAGCTTTTCGGCGCCAGTTAGGTTGAGGTAGGCAAAAATTGTGTTATCAATATAAGCAATGAAACTTTCTGAGTAGCAAAAGAGGCAAGCGAGACGTTTTGCAGACAAAACAAAAAAAAAAGGACGGAATAACCATATCGAGATTACGATATTTGATTTTACGGCTGGTTTAAAGCTGGTTCTAATGCGATTTTATTATAAACTATTAAAACTGCATGAAAAAGAAAGAAAAAAATCCATATATTAGCCTAGACAAGGAGCTTTCTATGGTCCGAAATTTAAGCAAATCGAACCTTAGATACGAGTATAATTCTACCAGGTAAATCGGTCTCAGAATGGAAATTTCTTCACACACTCGCATAGGCAAAGAGCTATCAACTATGTAAATCGAATTATGAATACAATTTTTCCGAACAAAACGGTCACTGCTTCACTTCCAGAAAGAGAAGTTTACCACATACTAACCTTGGCCAAGAGCCAAATGTTCCTCATATAAGGTTGTCAAATATCTCCCTTCCGCTTTTTTGTCTTTTGAATTTCGCGGCTATGTACTACAAAGTGCTACAGAGCTCGTACCTGGCAACACAATACATAATTTGAAAGGTCTTGACATAACCTACAAAACAACGCTATGCATGGAGTTCACTAACGCCGAAATTCGCGCTATTTTAAAATTTTCCTTCGTTAAAGGCAAATCCGCTAGAGAAACGTTCCGTGAGATTAATGGTGGAATGGTTTTGACGATTCAGAGCCAGTGAAAACGACACCATGGATAAGCCAGCCGGCGGAAGACCTGTGACGACAAATACCGATCAAATCATGGAATACATCGAGTTAGACCGGCATATGGCATCTCGTGACATCGCCCAGGAGATGGGAGTTAGTCACCAAACCATTTTGAACCATCTGCAGGAGGCTGGATACAAAAAAAAGTTTGATGTTTGGGTGAAAAAAAATTTGACGCAAAAAAATAAAAAAAACCGAATTAACGCCTGCAAAAAAAAGCTGAAACGGAACGAAAAAAAAAAATTCTTGAAGCGGATGAAAAAAAACAACGAAAAATGGACAAAAAAAAACGAAAACGGTCGTGGTAAAAAAAAGGTGAATCAACCCAAAAAAAAAAAAAGCCGGGATTGACGGAAAAAAAAGTTTTGCTGTGTGTTTAAAAAAAATGGAAGAGAATCATCCAAAAAAAACAGCTCCCATATGGCCAAAAAAAAGATTCTACCATCTACTAAAAAAAACTGGACCGCTTGAAGCAAAAAAAAGACCAGAAGCGTCCAGAAAAAAAAAACAGGAAGGGTGTAGAAAAAAAACAGGACAACGCCAGACAAAAAAAATCGTTGATGACTCGTCAAAAAAAACGGGAGCTCGGATGGGAAAAAAAATCGCATCCACCATATAAAAAAAAAGTAGCGCCAAGTGATTAAAAAAAATTCCTGTCCATGGCGAAAAAAAAAGGTGGTGTGTAGTTGAAAAAAAAAGAGGCTTGTGATAAGTAAAAAAAAGAATTCTTCGCAAATAAAAAAAAAGGCTTCTACGAGGAAGAAAAAAAAAAGTTGCCGTCTAGATAAAAAAAAATCATCGAACAAAACGAAAAAAAATTTAACTAAATCCGATAAAAAAAACACTTTTTATAAAGCGAAAAAAAAAGTGCAAAAAAGCGGAAAAAAAAATTGACAACCTTATATAAAAAAAAACGAGCCATCGAAGCGGAAAAAAAATACCTTTGTACCGAATAAAAAAAATATCAACTAATTTAAAAAAAAAAAGCATTTTTCGAATAAAAAAAAAAAAGGTCTCATTTCCAGAAAAAAAAATATTCCCAATGGTAATAAAAAAAAAAAGCTGTATCAAATTAAAAAAAATAAATTAAACTACAAAAAAAAAAATTTATCGAATAGATCGAAAAAAAATCCACTTCTCGGAAGAAAAAAAAATCCCATGTCAATTTAGAAAAAAAATATCAATGTTAATCGGAAAAAAAAAAATTAAATTAAAATTAAAAAAAACTTCCCGGAGTATCCAAAAAAAAAGAAGGCTGACGGCGTAAAAAAAAAACATCTTCAGACTTCTAAAAAAAATGGCTTAGGCTGTAGGAAAAAAAATCATTCAAAGCTGTTTAAAAAAAAAGATTAATATTTTAATAAAAAAAACTGAAAAATTGATTGCAAAAAAAATCTATTATATCGTCCGAAAAAAAACAGTGAAAATATTTATAAAAAAAATAGATCTCAGATGCTTAAAAAAAAAATTTATGATACAAAAAAAAAAAACTGAAAAATCAGTCTTAAAAAAAACTAGTAAGTAAGAAAGAAAAAAAATTTGCAACAGATGGGGAAAAAAAACGTTAGAAAGATGATAAAAAAAAATAAAAAAGATAATGAGAAAAAAAATGATCACTTAACTCGGAAAAAAAAGAGCGCTTGTCAAAGAAAAAAAAAAGCAAAGAGAACCCATAAAAAAAATTCTATCCACCATTATAAAAAAAAAAGGTGAAACAGAAGCAAAAAAAATGAAAATGTGAACAGTAAAAAAAATCCTGATATTGTAACAAAAAAAAAGGAGTTGATTTTGAGGAAAAAAAAGCTCCACGAGGTAGGCAAAAAAAAGAATATATCGATCAAAAAAAAAAAATCGGCAAGACTGGCCAAAAAAAAAGCGCCAGCACCAGCAAAAAAAAAATAAACGTTACTCAAAAAAAAAAAGGAAACCACTGGAAAAAAAAAAAACCCATGAACTAAGCGGAAAAAAAACATGGCCCTAATTTCTAAAAAAAAATCTCTGCCGTAACAAAAAAAAAACATTTCTGAAGTGGATAAAAAAAAATGGGCAGTAAGTCGGAAAAAAAACTATCCAAACCATAATAAAAAAAATGGAAGGGTTTGTTGTAAAAAAAATCATTATCAGCCAAACAAAAAAAATCAGCAATTGTACCGTAAAAAAAAGTAATCAGATGGGGTAAAAAAAAAAAGACGATTTGATGAAAAAAAAAAAGCCTATAAAACCGCAAAAAAAAATGAACATCTTTATAATAAAAAAAAAAAGAGATAATTTAATAAAAAAAATTATATAATTGTTGTTAAAAAAAATTTTCGGTCAAAAAGTAAAAAAAACCTTAAACCGTCCACTAAAAAAAAACGTAGATTTAGCTGCAAAAAAAATCCACAAAAAGGACAAAAAAAAAATATGCGCCAATTACCGAAAAAAAAGCTTCTTCAATATCGAAAAAAAAAATCGAATACCATTAACAAAAAAAACCATTCGCCAAATCTTAAAAAAAACCCGTGAAAAGAAACTAAAAAAAAACCAGCTCTTCGTCGAAAAAAAAACCGCCTTCGACAGCTGAAAAAAAACCGCTATGTTTGAATTAAAAAAAACCGCAAAACTTATGCGAAAAAAAAAACTAACCTTAAGCAAAAAAAAAAGCCCCGCCCGAATCGTAAAAAAAACTCTCCGAGCCGTTCGAAAAAAAACGAGGTTGCAGACAAAAAAAAAAATTATTGTGTGCCTCTTAAAAAAAATTGCTGGAAAAAATAAAAAAAAAAGAAGGTACAATCCTTTAAAAAAAATTACAGCTGCTGACGCAAAAAAAAATTGAAATTATTGGCCAAAAAAAAGCGCCGTAAGTTTTTCAAAAAAAACACCATCGTGGATAATAAAAAAAATCTAGGTAATACCATTAAAAAAAATAATAATGTCCGTCTGAAAAAAAAACGCAAAATAAATCTTAAAAAAAAGTGCTAGTTCAGACTGAAAAAAAAATTGAAGAGTAAAGTTAAAAAAAAACGAACGAAGACCAAAAAAAAAAAGTCGCTCATAGTCTCCAAAAAAAAGTATGGTGTGGAGATAAAAAAAAAGGTAACATGTGATGGGAAAAAAAAAGGGTTTTCAAGAGAAAAAAAAAATCTTTGGTTCTTTGCGAAAAAAAAACGGCGAATACCCTAGAAAAAAAAGCTGATTGAGATATACAAAAAAAAAAGAAAAAGCGACTACAAAAAAAAGGTCATGTGATCCGTAAAAAAAAAAATCCTCCTGTTTTCGAAAAAAAACCCGACGGTGGAAGCAAAAAAAAAGGAAGAGCTCCACTTCAAAAAAAATACCAGGTACAGCAGAAAAAAAAAGTTCTTGATATCTTCAAAAAAAAACAAACTGCGAACAGAAAAAAAAAAAGAAGAGCTGGGTTGTAAAAAAAACTTACGCTAATGCCTAAAAAAAAATCCTTTTGAAATATTGA